TGTGTGTGTGTGTGTGTGTGTGTGTGTGTGTGTGTTTTGTGGAATCTATTTGTTTCATAATTTTCTAGGCGTTACACATTAAAAAAACTGCTGATTATCTTTTAGGTTTACAGTTTTAAAAGGAGTTTGAGTCTGAGTGATACATAGACCGATGAGACTTGAAAAGTTGAGTGCGCGAGTGTGAATGTGAACGTGAAAGTTAAGTGACAAGTTGAGACATTTTTTTATTTACTACTTTTAGTCAGAATGTGAACAAAATGAACTATCTCTATGATTATACGCTTTCAGTCCTCGCCGCGTCCCAGACCTGAATTATTTCACTTTACAGATGTTTTTAGATTTTGGAGTACATTATTGTACCACTGTATTTTTTATATTTTTTAACAGTAAGAGTATTTATCAGTATATTTGTCCATTGATATACGGATGCGCGCGTGTGCAGGACTGCAGGACATGTATCCGATAGATCTATCCAACCAAATCATCGATATTAACCATAGCTGAATACAAAAAGTAGCTGAATACAAAAAGAGTCAAGTTTAGAATGAAGAGCAATCGTAGTACATATTTCAAATAGCTTGGGACTCGGGACTCCGGTAGTTGGGATTCAGTTCAAAGTTGCGACTTCTTGTTGGGAGTTGGGATTCGTCATTCGACTTCTTGGGAGTTGAGATTTGACAATTGGCAGAATTTGGCCCATCATGGGGTCAGTGTTGACTACATAAAATACTACCCGGCTAACCGCTAAACAGCTGAGTTTTTTGTTTTTTTTTAACAAAGTAAATAAACTCTCTGTCTCTATGACTCTATGTAGATTGTAGCCTCTCTCACTCTGTCACTCTATATCTCCTCTCGTCTACTCTCTATAACTCTATTTAGACTCTCTCTAGCTCTACTGTCGAGTTAAGTAGAGAAGCAAACAGTAGTGAGTAGGAGCTTGAGACTATTCACTTTGTGAGAGTTGAGAGCTGAGAGTTGAGAGTTGAGAGTTGAGACTTCTTGTGACTCTTTGTGTGAAGTTGTGACTTCTAACTTGTGAGTTGTTACTTATGACTTGTGACTTGTGAGGGCTATTTACATACTAGTAGAGAGCCCCTGAGCCTGAGGAGTGACGAGTGACGAGTGGACTCACAGGACTGAGGCCTGAGTCCTGAGTCAGGAGTCCTGACCGCCTAATCCCTGAGGGCTGAGGCCTGAAGCCTGAAGGGTGAAGGCTAAGGCTGAGCCTCTGAGCCCTGAGGCTGAGGGTCTGTGAGGCTTGAGATTCCCCTAATGACCTAAATAAATATTTGCTCCCCATTGTTGGTATGGTGCAGTCGCATTATTGCTTTATTTTATTTTAAATAAGAGATGATACAGGAAACCACCCCTACTTCAGCCAGGCACAGCACACACTAATAGTGACCCGATTCAGACGTTCAAAATAGTGGAAAATGCTGAGAAAAGATCAACCAAACACATTTTTAGATTTGTACTTTGTTCAAAATCTAGTTTTCTCAAAACAATTGAAAATTGGCCGTTGTTTTTGGGACCCCCCTTGCAGTACGAGTTTTGGACTTTTGACTTTTGAGGACAGAAATCGACATGCCCGCCCATTTCTAAGACTTTTTTCTATTTTAAAATAGAACTGTCTTCAGATTTTTGAAATTGTTTTTCCATCCTTTTGTATTAGTGTAAATGAGTGTGTGGAATATATAGATAAACACTCAAATTACACCTCATTATCGCTTACATACACATGATTGAGAGGTATTGGGGTAGAGCCAAGTTCGATGTTAATGAGAACTGCGATGGAACTTGGGCCGGTCTCCAAATGAATGTGATCAGAGCTTTGAACGATGTTAAATTTAGGCGATTTTTGAGGGATTAGATATATGGACTGTTAAAGGAGAAATATACTTCTCACCGTCGGGTACCCGAGAATGTGTACGATACAGTTACAGCTGAGATGTCTAGCAAAAGCTAAATTATTCAAGAAGACTGCAATAGACACCAGCTTGTTTATAAGCTTATTGAGCATATATTTCGTATGTAATTGCACACACTTTTAGTCTTAAGACACAGCCTCAAATCGCTGAGGCAAACAGTTGCCCGAGTTGAGTCACTGTGACCGAGTCGGTCTGAGACTCAATGTTATTGCACTGTAGTTCAACAATGATGAATTTTGTTTGTCCCGCGTAATCCCGTTCTGCTGTGAATTTCAGGTCCAAGGGATTTTGTCCTGTTCTGTACAGATTTCATCATTTATTTCTTTCAGAATATAAATTGAACAGAATATCACTTGGCTCAAGGGCTCGGGCGTTAAATAACAGCTTTATAGTCACGGGTGTCGTACTGCCGTATAAACCCCCAAACCAAAAAATATAGTAAATAAATATCACAAAAAAAAAATGTTGTTGATATTATCATATTTAGACTCCTTATAAAAATGACATAAACATAGGATTCTGTAGGATCCCAGAGTCTGGGAAGATTTTACATTGGAGAGTGAAGCAACTATAAAGCTTGAATCATTGGGCTTTTTACTTTAGGTTTCATTGGGCCTCCTTTCTGACAACGGGAGTGGACCTGTGACTCTGTGAGCTGTGGCTTGTGGGCACTCTGCTGGGTGCCTGAGTCCTGACTGCCTGGGTCTAGAGTAGTAGGGCTCTGAGTCTGAAACTCTGGACTCTGGAGTCTGGAGTCCGGTGCTATAGGCCTAGTAGGCCCTCTCTACTAGAGAGGGACGAAATTGAACTCCGTGCTTGCCCTGGAATAAATGTACTTGACCCTATGCCCTATGGCCTGCCAGACCTATTGTGAAGAAATAAACGATATACGTTTAGCGTTCAACGAATTATTTTTACGTTACATACGCAAATGAAATGAAATAAATACATAATTGAAATTCGGAAATTGCCGTGTGATACTGGTAAATAAATATGACAAATGTGTGTTCAGACTTTTAGACTTGAGAATTCAGAAGCTCAGTCATCAGTGTTATACAGTACCCAAATATTGAATGAGTAAAAAACTACTCCTGAAAGAATTCATGATTTTTTTGTAAAATACATTTGTAAATACTACTACCTATTCCCTGTAGCCTATTGCCCTATGCCCTATCACTATGGGCCTATGCAAGTCGCAAGATCCGCGATCGCATGCCATTCTAAATATACCCAATACAAACGTATCAAGATATTTATGCGTAAAATGTCTCGTGTTTCCTCTCTCTACTAGTAGTATTTGTTGATTGTTCATTTGAAGTTTTGATACGTACAAAAATGAAATATGTCATATCAATGACAACATTTATCACTTTTTCAAACAGGGATGCACTGGATGGGTGATTTTTAAATTACAAACAATATTTTATACTCTTTATGATGTTTGTTAGAGCCTTTAAAGGCCATGGCCTTTCACCCGTGGGCCGTAGCCCGTGGCCTGTGGCCCGTGGCCTGTGGCCCGTGGCCTGTGGCCCGTGGGTTTTTTTGTGGGGCGTGGGTCGAGCCGTCGATCTGAACAAAATGACCTACACTTTATTTTATTCAAACAAATTCCTAAAACAATGCTTTTTTATGTTGAAAACTTATAATATATATAATTTTTATCATATATTATTATACAAAACAAAAGCAAAACAAAAGATGTATAATTTAAATAGAAGGCAATGCAAAAGACATAAATTGCCTCCTTGTTTTGTTTTGTTTTTTTTATATCTTTTTGAATCCTATGGTGTTTGTAATATTTGATTGTTGTTTAAAAACAAAAATGCCAAAACAATCCAAAACAAAAATGAAAAACCCCCTAAAAAAAACATATAAATACTTATGACAATAAATATGAATAACCTTTTTATTTTTATTTTTAAACCAAAATGTTATTATGTATTTCCTTTTTTTGTTTTTACTTGATTTGTTTTTAAAAAAACTCTTGTTTAATAAAATATGAAGCCAGAGGCCCAGAGCCCAGAGAGGCAGAGACGCAGTCTATACACAGTCAGTCACTCGCAGATAAACTCAAGTCAGTCAGTCAGCTGTCAGCACTCAACAGTCAGACCCCAGCAGTGCCCGCGCCATTCACAGGCCACAGCTGTTCAGTGTACTTTGTTTTTAAAAACAAATACTGTACAGTGTACACTGTATTATATATATATATATATATATATATTTAATTTTTTAAACCTATATAGTGACACTGTAAAGCAAAGTCTCAACAGCCCTGTTCGTGTACAGACTGTACCGGTGTATTTACAAATACAGTCACTGAAAGTCTGAACTACAAATAGTCAAATACACACTGCTGTCAGGAGTGGAAGGCTGTCAGTAGTGCTGACTGCTGAGAGACTGAGGCTGAGAGTCAGCTGAGCCTGAGAGTGCCGAGTATTCAGTCAGTGATATAAGTAGTATAGTGACTCCTAAGTCCTGAGTCCTGACTGCACACTGCTGTGTAGTGTCTGGCTGTCTGCTGACTCTGCTCACTCTTTGGGGGGAAATGAAAAATGAAGATATATTTCTGGAAATTTGTTTTTGAAAAAGTATTGTAGTTCGTTTTTATTTCTTTTTGTTCAAAAGAAAGTTGTTTTTTTGCAAATATTATCTTCTAGTCAATCACGCAAAACGTTTGCATCCCGACTCCTAGCTCCCCACTGCCCCAGAGGCCAGGAGCCCAGGACCCCAAAGGCCCAAACATTGTCCCCACTCCCCAGTTTGGGCCCAATCACGTCACTGACGTCGGTGTGGAAATCACTTTATTATTCCTCATCAAGTCATAAATACTAAAATAGTCTGGTAGAGAGAGTAGAAAGTAGGAGCGGCTTAAGTCTGGACATAATATATTTGTTCACGGAAACTTGAACAATGGGGTGCCAGTTGCCACCATCTGTATTAATAGCGGTGTATTTTGTATCTAAGCGTTACTTCTACAAAATCAAGTTTTGGAACGGGAAGTTAAAAATAATCGTAGCATTGTCGGCCTTCTAAAGTTCTAATCTGCGAAAATGACGACGGGAGAATCTAGCAGTGTACATGTTCAAATGGAAAAACCTGAGAAGACAGTCGACGCTATAGATTTTCCAAGTGACACTGATGATGTGCTTGTGTTGCAAAGAAGCGATTCAATCATCGATGGGAATTCTGATAGCAATGGTCATTCGAAAACACGAGTGCCCGATAACAGCCCGAGTGGCGAGAAAGCTCCCCGTCGTGGACTGGTGGACGTCGTGTCGACGAGACTTGCAGATCGCAGATTGAAACTCGCAGTAGGTGCGGTATTCCTGGTCGGTTGGATCGTTTATCTTGGATTCGCAGCTGCAATGAATTTCAGTGAATGTTTGCCTCTTCTCGTAATAACAGGTCTTATCCTGGGCTATCAAGTTTTTTTCCGTATTTTGTGGCCACGTGTTTCTGATGAGGCTAAAGCCTCTATGAAGAAAACCATGAGCACAGATAGGTTAAATGACCGTCAGAAGATGATGGCACGTTTTGCGCTTTTGGGTATCGCCGCCGGTCTCATCATACTCTTTATTGTGCTCGAACAAGTGTGGAATGAGCCTCTGAGATTCTTGTCACTGGGCGGTTTGTTTGTATATCTAGGTCTCTGCTGGGCTATATCTAAGTATCCCACTCGCGTGAACTGGCACCTCGTAATGGTAGGCATGCTTCTACAATTCGGTCTAGGGTATATTGTCTTACAAACTGCATGGGGCACCGCTGCTTTCACATGGCTGAGTGATCTCATAGTAACGTTTCTCGGTTACTCTGGGGCTGGTTCTGCATTCCTATTCGGTGATGGTTATTTTGAGCATTTCTTTGCCTTCTCGGTGCTCCCCACGGTCTGCTACTTTTCGGCGTTTGTTTCCGTGATGTACCATTTTGGTATTATCCAGTGGATGATTAGTGTTATTGGTAAAGTAATGATGTTTACCATGGGTTCCACCCCTGCAGAGTCACTGAATGCAGCTGGTAATATATTTATTGGCCAAACAGAAGCACCTCTGCTAATCCGCCCTTTCGTACCAGATCTGACTGAATCCGAGATACACTCCATCATGACTGGAGGTTTTGCAACAGTCGCCGGTACTGTATTCGCAGCATACGTTGGAATGGGCATCGACCCCACCGCGCTGCTGACTGCTTCTCTCATGTCCGCGCCCGCATCATTGGCGATATCCAAGATAGTATATCCAGAGGTTGAACGGGCGGTAACAACTGGCAAGGTGGTAGTTCAGGGTGGAAAGCGTGCCACCAATTTTGTGGAAGCGATTAGTATGGGAGCGTCCGATTCCTTACCCTTGATGGCAAATATTGCCGCCATGCTGATTGCTTTTATTTCCCTCCTCGCAGCTGCCAATGGGCTGCTCAGCTATATTGGTGGATGTGTAGATTATCCGGAACTTTCGTTCCAAATAATTAGCGGATATGTTTTCTATCCGTTTGCCATATTAATGGGCGTTGCACCAGAAGATGCCCAAACAGTGGGTGCACTATTAGGGGAAAAAACGTTCACCAACGAGTTCGTTGCATACGCTACATTAGGAGAGCTAATTAAGAACAGGGAAGCGGGCCTCGAGCCAAGTATATCCGAACGTAGTGAATTGATTGCTACGTATGCTCTTTGTGGATTTGCAAATGTTGGTTCTATGGGTATCATGTTAGGTGGTCTTACACCGTTAGCCCCCCATCGTTCTACGGATTTTGCTAAGGTGGTTCCTTGGGCACTCGTATCCGGCACAATAGCATGCTTCACCACAGCGTGTGTGGCCGGCTTCTTGATTTCTGATTAAAACCTACCAACTGATCCCCTTCGTCATTAAGACTGTAGCTACTGATGGGAATAACTTGACAAATAAGTCTTCTTTAGAACTAAATGTGAATATGGTCTATCCTTCATCTGATCAAGGAATTGTGAACAAACCAAAATAAATTGGTTTTCACAGGCGTGGTCAACCACCTAGTTCTTAATCATACTTTGTCGATACAACACTATCCCAATAGCAGGGGATGCCCGCAGTTTTACACAAGAAAAATAGTGTACTTGTGGCTTTCATAA